GGAGCAAGAAGCTACTAGGGCATCGCTACTAGGAGCAAGAAGCTGCTGACAGGTATTAGGTGGAGGCCATCGCTTCTTGGCCTAGGCACTTGAGACGCTGCTGACATCATCATCTTCTCGTGCCAGTGCCTGGACAAACGAAGTTGTTGGACCGAACAACAGTAAACCTACTAGAAGCGAGGCACTTGTTCCTAGTAGCAAGGCCAGGAGCTACTAGTAGCGTCCTTGCTACCAGTAGCGATGCCCTTTGTTACTGCTACTACTAGTAATGCTCTTGTTTGTCACCACTAGCGATGCCCTTTGTTACTAGTAGCTTCCTTCTTACTAGTAGCATTTTTCTTTTGCTACCTTCTTCCATTTTTCTGTAGACCGTTACGTTCTCTGCTCTGGTTCGGACACCTTTTAAAGGGTTGGAGGCCAGCGCTACTAGGCACATCAGACATTGTTACATTGCTATTAGGTTGGAGGCCATTGCTATTTTTTCTTCTATCTTTCCTTTTTCTTTTTTTTACGGAAAGTTAAGAAACACCAGACATTGTTGAGTACACTTTGCTCCCATCTCCGTGCCTTACGGTGTGAGCTTCTCTTGGTGCTCCTAGATGAGCGACAGAATCTGCGGATCACATGCCCAAATCGCAATCAAACAGCCGAAAAGAGCGCAAAATAGGTGCAACCCGTGCCAAACACTGACTTGATCTTTTGCTATTTGGTTGGAGGCCATTGCTCGTGCTAGGGTGGAGGCCATGGCTATTGGGTTGGAGACCATTGCCATCATTTTGGAGGCCATCGCTTCTTGCATACTGACTCGATCTTTTGCTATTAGCTCCAATATAGTTAAGTTTCTCTAAAAATCTAGGAACCAAATGAATAGTGCGAGCGCTTCTTCAAAGAAGCTCCCCCCTAGGTGTCTTGGCTCGAGCTCATTCACCTTACGCCCAATCGCGAGGGCCGGGGCGGGGCTGCCACCTTCGTGGGTGTGGGTCCCGCGTCTACAGATCCACGCCTCACCTGGAGTGGAATCGCCATGGATAACTTGAGCACCAAGAGAATGGATGGTCATCTTGCGAGAGATGCACTTATGGACTGGGCTACTGGAGGCATGCCTGAGGCCTTGGCTTCCTCTGTCCGAGCGGCTCTTCAAGGCATTGCTACTACGGGTGAATGCAGACATGTTGCTTCGGATTGGATCCTTTTTGGCGAGGTTGTTGACTTGCAGGTTGGGCAACCCCTTCGAGTCCACATGAAGCGAACCTCGATGCTGATGGGTTCTGACGAGGTGTTACCTGAGTGGGGCCGTTTTGACATCGTCTGCTCCACTATGCACTCCAGGGTGGACTTTACAGCCGGCTTGATGGTTGGAGCCCTTGTTCGACCTCATCAACGCTCTGCCAATTGTGAGGTGTTTGCAGATGAACACATGCCGATATGGAATCTTCCCCAATTCGATGCCAACCTTGCCTGGAATGTCACACACTTGTTCTCTGGTGCATATGAGGGATGGCTTCGTGCAATGTGGTGGCTTCAACAGGCCAATCTTGGCCACTCTTTTGCCACACACGTTTCCGTGGATTGGAATGCTGAAGTGATGAGCACATGGTCCTTCAACCATGGCAGGGATCACTTCCAAGCTCCGATCCTTCCTTCCTATGACTCCAAGGAGATGTTCGTTGGGATTCAAGCGGATGTGAGTGACTCGTCCTTACTGCGGGCAACATCATCTAAGCTGAACTTGCTGATGACACTATCACCACCCTGTCCCAGCTGGAGTCGGGGTGGTAAGCACTCTGGCCTTGCCACAGAAGAAGGTTTTTGCTTCTTGGATTCAGTTGAGCACATCGCTCGAGTTCGACCGATCCTGGCCCTATTTGAGTGTTCTGATAGCATCGAAAGTCACCCACATTGGCGTGCAATCTCTGCTGCCCTCCAGCTTGCAGGATATCGGAAAGTGTGGTCTCAGGATGTGGCTATTCACCAGTTGACTGCCAATCACCGCACCAGGTGGTTAGCAGTTTGGTGCCGACAGGACATTGAGCATCAGAAGTCCAATGAGCGTTTGCTTTGTGCTGCCAATCGACGAGCTCCTTGGAATGATACAAGGCACATCTTTGCCCTTCCCGAACAGTTGCAAGTGAATTTGGCCTTGAATTCTGAGCAGGTTGAGATCTATGGCAACCGGGATTTACTTCCCCCGGCCAAGAAAGCAAGAGTTGTGGATGGTGCCACTGCCCAGCAAGTCCTACTGCAAAGAGTTGCACAAGGAGGTGATTTCTTACCTACGCTGTGTGCATCCTATACTGCACAACATTTACTGCAGAGGGAACATCTCGAGACGAAAGGCATTTTTGCGGCTCTGACGCAGCAAAATCAAAAGGTCAGTTTCATTGATCCGTTTACTTTTGTTTCGCTATTTGGCACAACTGACTCCATCGCACTCCCAGTAGACATGAGAAAGGCTTTCCACCAATTGGGAAATGCAATTTCACAGATCCATGCGTTGGCTGCGACTCTGTTTGCGATTGAAAGTGTGCTTGGTGAACCCATTCACAAGATGCAACTCATTCATCAGTGCTGGGATGACAGGCTAACTGTTGACCGGGCAATGGTGAGAGCATGTGATGATATGTTGGTTCTCCAACCCTTTGCGGACTTCATTGCCAAGGCCATTCCAAGTATTGTCTCATGGCAACCATGGCTTGTTGGACACACCATGATCAGATTCTGTGATGACATGTCCTTGGTCCCTCTCAATGTGTCAGCTGACATGACGGTTGTGTCGAAATTGCTTATGGCACTGGACCTCTCTGAACATCATCGCCAATTGATTCAACTCACCTTTGAGGGCGCCCATCTGGCTGTGGATATCACCTGGAATGCTTTGCCGGCTGGGGATGTTATGGTCAAGTTGAGGAATTTCACTCTTTGCACCCTCCACGTCATCCAGACGAATCCTACTGATGATGCTGATCCTATTGTTTCCCCTACTCAACCTTGGGGGGAACGAGAGGAGGATCCGGATTTCGATCACTTGCAGGAAATCCATCGCATGGGATTCTTCCATGTTGCCGAATACCTATGTCAAGATGAGGCACCCTGTCAGATTGGCAAGATCCTTCTGATCCAGCAGGATGGAACATTTGAATGGATTCAGGATGCCAACCTTAGCAGACTTGGTAGCATTCCTACATTTCAAGGTCCAGATGGTGCAATGCATTTCTTCAAGGGGAACCATGATGCCTGCCAGCGACTTATGGGGGTACATGTGGTGATTGCTATCAAAGGCCACTACGAACCAGTCAACCAGAATAAGTGGGTCCTTCTTGCAGGCGGTCAAGACCTGAAGTGGTGTAAGATTTCTCAGATGCCCAGAACTGTTACTCCGCGGCAATGCAATGAGATCCTGGGCCAGCAATGCCATGTCGTCATGAGGAATCTGGTCGAATGCAGGGATGATCAACCAATGATGCTCATTAATGGAGACATCCTTTGGTGTGATTCCAGGGCTTCCAATGCGGCCCCTATCCTCTTTGGGGGAATGGATCTGCAAGATACCAGGGACTCACTTTGCCTTCCACAGCAGGATGAAATTCAGCCAATCACTCTCCAAGGAGGTGCTGACCACAGAGGCTTTCATCGGATTGATGGCGTTCATGTTGTCTTCGGGGGCATGGACAGGCTGTCAGAGCAACCAAGCTGTAATATTCACAATGATGTGATCACAGCACGGCTTCTTCAATTCAATATGGAACCCGGTGCTCTTGCAATTGATGAAGTTGTCTTCCACTTTGACGTTTTGCAGATTCTCATGCCGACAATTTGCTGGTGTTTGCCAGGTCGCTGGATCAGTACCGAGTCGCAGTTCCGGTTCCCCACAGCACCAGCAGATCTGATTCGCTGCTATCAGCATTTTGTTGTCCCCATTTTGGTCGTCTTCGATTGGATTTTTGTCGAGATCCGATTCTTTGAAGGCCAGTGGAGGATTTTGTATCATTCACCAGAGCAACTGACGATTCGGCAGACGAATGCAGTTCTGGAATTGATCAACACCATGGGGATCCCTGTGGCACCAACAGCTTACCGCTGGATTCGTACAGCTGAAGACAATGACCTTGCGCCATGGCATACCCTGCGGACGTTCTATGCCAGAGTGGGCTCCCCACGATTGCCGGAAACGCACAGGACGATGCAAAGACTGCAGAGGTCTCAATATGCAGTCCACATCTTGCAAGTAGTTGACCAAGCTGATTCGGTATGGAGGGACACACAGGCAGACGACAGGATGGTTCAATTTGCAAGGGCATGCCGCGGAGCCTTCCTACTGGCCATCACTGAATTCCCTAGCAGAGCATCTGACCTTATTCTCCGTGCTACGGGTAGAGCCTTTCCAGTGTATGATATTCAAGAGATCTTCTTTGTGGCAGATGAGTGGCTGGACATGAGACTCAACATTTACCGGACACATCCAGGCTGGGCTACCAGCGATGAGATTGAATTTGCTCTGTCCTTTTTCATCCCGGATTCCTTTATCCCACCAGTGCTACATCATGATCTCTCCCTCATCACAGCTGGAGTCAGGGTGCCATGCGATGAAGTTCCGCGGTTTGTGGCACTCCGAGAGGGCCATTGGATTGGGATTGAGGTCATCTGCAACGCCCAGGAGCACACTTGTAGGGCGGTGTTCCTTCAGGTGCCAGCCAGGGACCATCAGTTCTGGCATGACTTTGCAATCGATCACATCATCCCGTTTGGGTTCAGGCCCATTATCATCATTGACACCAACCGTACTAGGCCTGGGATGTGTGGATGGGAGCTCTTGCACAGATGGGTTGTCGCTGATGTACACCTTCCTGACGGATTCCATGTACCCACTCCCAAGCGACAGATCATTGAGCAAATCATTGAAGAATCTGAGGTTGTCTGGAGGCGATCGGGTTCTCCTCCCATGCTGGCTACCTTTGCAGGCAATATTCGTCGACTCTTTCTGTTAGTGGGTGGTGTTCATTTGCTACAACCATGTTCTGCTGTATCATTGGGTGGAATGGAAGGGGCCTCCAGCCCTGACACACCGATGCAAGCAACAGATCCGTGGCAATTTGATGATCCCTGGAAGATGAAGAAGAAGCAAGTGAAGCAGAGTAAATGGGAGGATCTCCAACTTCAAGCAGACCATCCATTTATCTCCAAGGACAAACTACCCGTACCGTTTGTGCAGAAACAACAGCTTTCCACCAATCGAGGTGGCATAGCATTTGTGTCAAAGGGTAATCTGCAACAAGCGCGTGAAGTCACCCCCAAAGAACCGTGTGCCTTATTGCTTCCTCTGATTGACCAGACGGATCCGCTTGCCAAGTTAGCCAATCTCTTGGGACCGTATGAGGTCATCGTCTTTGATCCAGCCTTGAACCAGGAATACAAAAGGCAAGTCCATCTCCTGGTCCTCACTCCGGAAGTCAACTTTGCATTGCCGACGCCTTCCATTACGCTTACTTTGGCGGCAGTGTGTGAGATGGTAATTGAGTGTGACGTGCGCCTGACGGCCAAAGATGTCTTCCAGATGTTCTATGACAATCCACTGGCTAAATTCAAGGCACAACTGAA